ACAAGGAAACTCATTAAAACGTGAATACCCTATTAATTGAAATGCACTAAGTGAAGTATGCCAGACACAAATGGAAAAATATGGATGGTACACTTTGGTGAGGTGTCTAGAAAGCCCACAATTCAGAGACAGAAAGTGCCAACAGGGGCTCCCCTGGGCTAGAAACAGCTGTCATTTAGTGGGTGCAGCTTCAGTGCACGTGACAGCGTTCTGCAGATGGATGCTGGCGATGGGTGCACAACAATGAGGATGTGGCACTACCACACTATACCCCTGAGATGATTAAAATAACAAGCGTCATCTCCATAAAGTGCAAAACAAAACAGACTCGTAAATATTCAACCAGAAGCTCTTAACTCCACTCAGCTCCCACGTGCTCCATATACTGATTAGACTATTCGACTGGGTTCTCAGATGGGTAAAAGATTAATCTCAAAGTTCCAGAACTTAACGATACCCTAAAAGCTGAAGCTCCTGGTTTTATTAACCAACGTTTAAAGCTTGACCCATGAAATGGACACTGTAATGAAATCAGAGAACAAGCATCTCCAGGAACCATGGCCAATACTCATTCTCTTGGCCGTTTATGTCTAGTTTTCATCAACTATCATCATTTAGAACTTAAATGGCTATAAAAATGGAGCAAAAGCATAAAAGATTCAAATGCTACATTTGAGTTTCATAGGTTTTTAGAATGAATGAAATGAATGGGCGGAAGGAGAAACTGCCTTAGGATTCTAAGAAATGCATGTATTTTTAGGTCTAAGATAATACACAAATGGAGAAAATGAAAAGGTTAAATATATTGTGACAGTGTGAAAAGAATGTCACAATCCATATCTAATCAGAAAAGTTTCCAAGTCATCTGAACATCCCCAAATCCTTATAGCCTGTTTGCTGCTAGACATTTAGCTACAAGATAAAAGGCTAAATAAAGCCAGTGTCATCATTTTCTAGGAAACAGACCCAATGTCATGCATAAATATAAAAAAAAAAATCAATTTAATCAGTTATTTGAAATTACTAGATAAAAATAAACAATTAAAATCTGGAAATACAAGTAGACTTCAAAGATGGCAGTAGCAGGTTAGCTGTAACCATGGAGGAATCTACACATACAAAATAGCACAAAGAAACAATAGGACCCTGACATTTTAAAAGCAAACCGGTACTGTAACTGAGAAACGCAAACCAATGTAAGAGCTAAGAAAAATTAATATTTGAAGTCTCATATTTGAAAGACCATGGTCACTCTTCTTGCTTTAAGTCTTCAAATACAGCAAGCAATTAATAACATTTTGATTAAATGAAGGTTATTAAATAAGAATGTGGCACCAGAGTGAGCTCAGGAGCTCCACAGAAGGACACAATGGTGACCTAAAAGCCCAGTCATGGGCTTTAACTTAAAGTTCTGTGTGAGATAAATACTTTAGTGCTTAAGGCGGGCTGTACAAGCATGGAGGAAGCTCAGCAAGGCGCTGTGTGTTAAGGAGGAAGCTGTCGCGCTTAAGGCGGTGTTTATAAGCTTGAGTCAGAACACTTGCTCACAGAGCTGAAAGGGCCAGAGGAGACAGTACAGAGGTCAGTCACAGCCTTTTCACCAGGAAATGGCAGCTCTCAAATTCCTGAAAGATGAGCTCTTTGTGAAGAGATAAGTCTACTGAGGAAAACTGGGAGTTAAGAGTATTTAACTGGAAAGCCAAGGCTGAAAGAATGGTAAGTAAGCTTGCACATGTTTTGGCTTTTCTACTACATAGAAAACCAGGAGTGTGACTACCTGGCCTATTTGCTTATTTGGCAGGGGGAACAGATGGGGTTGCGTAGAGCCTACACTGGCCTTGAACTCAGTGTGTGCCCAAAGATGATCTTGAACTCTTGATTCTCTTGTCTCCATCTCCTCAAGTCTGGGGTCACAGGTGTGGGCCACGATACTGGCTTTCTGGCATTTTTAGGACATAACCCCGAGTCCGCTCAACTTTCCGCCTGTTTGAGGAGAGCATCCGCAGGTCACATCTGCCTCACTGGTGCTCACAAATTAATGCCAAGGGAGTAATCCTTATATTTTAGGTCAAGTTTTAACTTTTAAAGATTTCATTGTGAACATATACCTGTGGGTTTAATATTTCTCCTTTTGTTTCTTAAAGCATCGAGGTGATAAAAATTGGAAAAAAAATGGAAATTATTCCAAACCACAAGAGTAATATCAAGTCACTTTCAATATGCATAACAAAGAAAACAAAGAAAAAAACCCCAACAATGTGTTGCTTAAAAGTAGTAATTCTGATTCTTTAAAAAAGAAAAAAAAAAAAAAAAAAAAAAAAAAGGTTCTCTAGATAAAAAGTAAAACATTCTATAAAAATGTCTTTGCTTTTGAGGATCAGTGAAATCACTACTTACTCTTAGAGCCACAACTAATTTATCAAGTGTTGGCTTTTAAAGTATTCTAGAAGAGAGCTGTTACTGTTTAAGGATGTCTGCTAGGATTTAATGAGAGACCATCTAAAAGGCAATCTACATTTATGGTGACTGGTACCTAAAAGAACACCAGAGACTTAATAGTGAGAGGAATCAATATGAGTGAAACCCTGCCTTCCTTGGGAAAGAGAAAATGGAGAGTGCAAAATAAAGCAATGCCTGGAAATTCCAAGAGTTCAAGAGTCCTTGTGACCTGCGCAGTGAAAGGCTGGCAAAGAGTAAGTCAATGAGGATGCAAGGTATCCCGTAGTTCATGGCTCAAATTGCAATTTCAAGACATATGGAAGGAAACCATATTAAATAACAACAGTGGACCTCAAAGACATGAGCTTTTGTCACTTTATTGTTAACCAATGAATATTATCCAAAATTAGAGATGTAATTGTAATTTACTTGTACAACATGAAATTATGCTAATGGGAAATTACCAAATACTCATTAGTGTATTTTTACATTGCTATATGAACATGTGCTCTCAACTGCTAATGATAAATGTTATAATTGATGCAATCACTATGAAAACCCATTTCCAAAATGGCTGTTCCTGTTTAGAAAAATTCAGACAGCTTTAAAAATGGATTAAACTCACTTTAATCCTAATCTACATATAGACTATTAACAGGAAATATAACTGGTAGCCTCTCAACACTGTAACAACTGGTGTAGCAATGATAATGTACACAATGCAAATAGAAAAAAAAAGTCACTGAAAATCCAAGGGGACTCAATTCTTTTAGCAATAAAGACCATTGCTCTTTGGAAAAGTGAACGCTCATGCTTCAAAGTATGAACGGTAAGGCCTACCATCTCTCCCTCTCACATATGGGAAGCAGGAACATTCCCTTGCAAATGATTTTGCAGTATATGCACAACCACTGTACAACAGTCACTTCAAGGTTAACCAGTTATTTTGTCCTACAGAGTCGAAAAAATATATTAAGCCTTTCCTTTTCATAATGTCTGCCCAAATTAAACCTTTTTAAGTCAGCAAAAATCAAAAACTGCACAAAAGATACTTTCAGACACAAGTTGAATCTACTGTGCATGAAAATTACTTAATAAAATGGCAACTGTAATAGATAAATGTAAGTCTGAGTGCATAATACCAAATGGAAAGTAGCTGAACCACACAGAGAAAACAAGGCTTTCTGTATCTTCAAACTCAGGTGCTTCATGATCAAAGAATATAAAAGCATCTTTCTAGCTAGAAAGACTTCTTCAATAAGACATAATTGAAATGAAATTTGATTTTAGAGATTGCAAATAAAATAAGCAGTGATTTAGAAATCAAATATGCTAAAACGATGTACCTATCCCATAAAGACAAAAAGATGAGACTGCTTCCCATGATGCAAAGGCAATGTCTTTCTCAGAAAGGGCCACTCTACTTCCTCAGACACAGAACGCCCCTTAGGGAATAGCATATAATCTGAACACAAGCCAGCGCCCCACAACCCCACAATTCAACAAAAAGGCAGTTACAACATCAGCCCTGGAATCTCAAAGTATCTTCAACGCAGGCCATGACTGAGACTGCACGGGTACAGACAGGCAGTGGACACACACTGTGTGTGAACAGTCACCACAGGTGTAGTGTGAGGTAGTAGTACTTGCTTGGAATTGATGTTTTCATCTACTGCCCTTGCAGAAAGAAAGGTCCAGGTTTGTTTTTCAAACAATTAAAATCAGCTATCATCAACTGAACATCTGTGTTTCTAAATCAACCTAAGAACAAAACTTGAATTTTTTTCAGAGACCACTTACTTGCAGGCAGTGCTTCAGCAATAAATTTCCTAGGAGCAACTGCCTGCTGGCTACCTCTCTGAAGTGGAAGGAAAACCACCAAAGGGTTTCAGGATGTGAAATACCCATCACTCCAGCTGTCAAAGACTAGACTCAAGCAAATGAAAAGCAAACACCCAATAAGGGAAAGAGGGATTTCTGTGATAATTAACCACCTGCTGCACACTGTGCTAGCCAATGTTCTAATTGTCTTATGATGTAGTCTCCTATACAACCCCGTGTCTATCCCAAAACACCAGAATTACAGCTGTCATGACCGGGCATGAGAAGGCCACACTGACAAAATATGAGAGTGAACATGGAGATGTATGTAGGGTAAACATGGAAAGGGCAAACAAAACTGAGTTCATTAATTAAACATGAATTGAGATGTCTACCATTTTCCTAAGATATACACAGTGCTCAAAGCACACATACACATTTGTCAGACATGGTCATTAGTGTTAATATTCAACTGAAAATGATGAAACAAAACATGAAAAATGTACACAGAGGTGACAAAATACCAATATCCATTCCCTAGACAAAAGAAAAATGACCAAACATGACATCACACTGCCTTAAAGCTGAAGCGAGCCCTTCAGGGTTCTGCTACTGAGCACAGTCAACTGGTGTGAGTGCTTTGGCAAGGTGGGATGCATTCCATCACATCTGCACAGGCCTGCTTTTCTCTGGTGGTGGTTCAGCTTACGAAGGACATGTAGCACAAGAACAGCTCTCACATTGCTTCAAACTCATCGATGCGCTGCTTGGTGTTGCCCTGTCGAATCTGCCGCAGAGTCTTGTACTTATCACGGCCTGCCTTGACGTTCTCAGCATGAAGAACATCATTCTGTGTCTTCTTGGTTTCATCTCTGGCTTGGGCTAATTCTGAACTTAATGCCTGCATTAAAAACATATTGCTATTACATAAAGTTATAAAATTATGTCAATAAAGATGCAAAAATACATGTATACCAAATCTGACTTTTTAATACATTGATCTTTCCACTGTGGAATAGTTTCCTGTGTGGTATGCAAGCTTCTAGTTATTTTTAAATTTTTTTTATTTCATGTGCATTGGTGCTTTTGCCTGCATGAATATGTGTGTGAGAGAGCCCCTGAGACAGGAGTTACAGTTATGAACTACCATTTGGGTCTGGGAATTGAACCTCTGAAGAGCAGCTAGTGTTCTTAACCACTGAACCATCTCTCCAGCCCCATAAATTTTTTTTTTTTTTTTTTAGTAATTGTGATGCTAGGAATGGCCAATGCCTTTCTTTTCTTTAGTCAACAGCCATGGTATTTTATATATTCTGAACTACTTTAACTTTCTTATCCAACACATGAAACAAATGATCAAGTTCAAGGCAGTCATTTTTTGTTTCTTTCTATCTCCCCCTTCTTTCATAAAATTCCATGCACTCTGTCCAAAGTTTGGCTAGAAAGACACACATGGTATATACTCACTCATAAGTGGTTATTAGACATCTAATATAGGATAAACATACTAAAATATATACTCCTAAAGAAGCTAAACAACATGGAAGACCCTAGAGAAGATGTTCAAACCTTATTCAGAAGGGCAAATGTGACAGACATCAGAAGTAGGAGAAGATAGGGAACAGGACAGGAGCAAGGCAGTCATTTTAAAGGTAAGTTACTATAAGATTTTTAAATATGGACTTTTCTAGAAATCTTAGTGCAGTTAATGTAACTTTCTTTTTCTTTATTAAGGTTTCACCAACTTAAAACTTAGATAATTTCTAAACCGTTCAATATCACTAAAATTTCCTGTTCTGACCTAATATTGTACATTGAATAAACTGGTATTTTATAATTACAAAAGATAAATAATTCCAATGATATATAGCATTTTAGATAAAGGGTGAAGTATCAAGTATATCATCACTGTTTTAAAGACTAACTCCATTTTACACAGCACTGGAATACTTTCTTCTTTGAGCCGGTCTACAACTGAAAATGCGACAGTCAGCAAAGCCCCCTGCTAACAGGGTTGTATAGAGAAGCAACAAGGGAACATACAAGCAGAACAAACATAATCCAGTCACAAGCCGGGACCATGTAAAGAACTGGAGTGCAGGTGGAATGGGGAGGGAAGGAAAGAGGGGGCTACAGCTGGGATGCAAAATGAATAAACTGTAATTAATATATAAAAAATTAAAATTTAATTAAGAAAATAATTGGAGCACTTGTGAAGTCAACTTAGATGGAGACTGCACACAGCTTCAGGGGTCAGTACCTGGAGCTGCTTCTTCACACGTTCATTTTTCTGTGTTTCCGTCACCCGCTCCTCCTCGCTCCTGTGGTTCACGACCCCCTCACTGGACAACTCAGCACTGGCCTCAGCATTGTTTTCATCGTGCTCATCGTGCTCATTTTCCGTGGGAGGGATGACTGGTGGAGGTGGAGGTGGAGGTGGCGCAGACATCACAGTTTTTAACTCCTCTTTGGTCTTTTCCAAGTCTTCCTGAGCTGCAAAAGCCTGAACATTGAAGGGAAGTTTGCAAATAAAATATGATTTATTCTGTCTTTGTAACAAAAACTACATTTCAAAGTTATAATAACTGCTTTTAATAAAAGCTCCATTTTTACAGAATTCCAGCACATAGGAGGCATAAATTAAAAAAAAAAATCTCTTGATTAAAAATATGAACACAGGTTTCTCCTTTGTGACTGTAACTGTTGTGCAAACACTGGAAAACAACTTAATCTGTATAACGCTGAAGAGTCTCATACTTAACAGATTACATCTGAATGACAAGCAGAAAATTAAAATAGTCAAGGAGGTCCGTCTGCCCTTACTCTAATACAAGGATCAACTAAAATCATTAACCTAATGACGGGTTAACTCAATAGTGTCATCTCACATGATGGAACATGAAACATCCAAATCACTTGTGATTTGGGGGACAGTATTTCCTGGATTGCCTGGAAAAGTCCCACTTTCCAGTCTTGTCCTATGTCCTCTAGAACACAGTACCTTACTCTCAAAGGGCTCCTAAACTACAGAGGTCTCCTATGAGAATTCCTTAAGCTTCAAGAGCCAGACTTCAGTTTACAGGAAATACTCAGGATACGAAGATAAAATGAATGACACCATAACGAAGCAAGCGGACATACACATACGCACACACGCATGCACTAACGCACACAGAAGAGCACCAGACCCATCAACAAATCAGTACCAGAAGGTCTAGCCTGTGTTAAGATTTAAAGCAAACAGAGAATCCATACTCCTGCTTTGCACATGGCAAAGCAACCTACCTACAAATTACCAAATTTATTGGTTAAATTTTTAAATCTAATTATAACCTAACATTAAGAAAATTCAATAAAACTGAATTATATAATAGATTTGATTTCAAATATATGTAACTATATGCATAAGCAGGAATAGGAAAAGATATACACTAATGTTTTAAAATAATATCCTAGTTTGTAGGACTGTACTTTTATATTGTTGACTTTGTGAAGTTTGTGTCTCTGAAGTTCATAAATCTTCTTTTAAAGTGGTCTATAAAGTTCCCACAACAAAAGCAGTGTAATAGGGAGACTAGCTGCTTTACCCTTTTTATATTTATATGCATATTATTTTGCATATACACATGTAATATATCAAAAATGTCCCAACAAAAATCAAACTTCTGTAAAAAAAAATTTAAGAGTAGAACAAAACCATTTTGTACTATAAAACTACTTTATTGTAGAAAATAAAATCACTTTCCTTGGGTATAAAAACCGTAAATGTACTTACAAGTTGTTATTTTTGAATTAAACTCACTATCTTTTCTGTCCCATCCCTCTACTTACAAGCTGGATTTTACACTTGTGAATTCTCATTAGAAATATTAGCAGTATCTGCTGCTCCCATAAGACCTGTAGGCAGTTAAAAGTTGCTGGGGAAAGGAGCTCATGAGGCCCACCTCTCCCTAAGGAGCAGGAGTTAATGGTTGCTGAGAGACATTTTCCTCAGTGGTGTAGCCACTGGCAAGCTGTCCATGTTTCCATTAAGTAATATTTCATACTAACAGACTCACTGATCCATTAAAAAGAAAACAATCCAGAAAAAGTAGGAGATATTAAGTGGGAAGAACAAGGGGGTCGGTGAGAAGAGCACTGGGACTAGACAGGAGTAACTGGGAAAACATGGTCGGACTATATGATATACATAATGTCCATGCATATTAAAGCATGTTAACAAAAACAAAAGTAAAAAATCTTACTAGTAGCGAAACTACAACCTCCAACTCAACCTCAACCTCCTGTAATTCGTTTCAGTTGACCACAAAACTTTAACTCTTCCTTTCTACTCTTGTTCTCATTGCTACATCCTGTGGACATTTAAGCACCCAAAATCCCAATCCCTACTTCATGCAAGTTTTTTGTTGTTTTTTATAAAAATCACATTTGAATATGCTAATTGTGTTCTGAAATCTTCAGAACCTGCTGTCTACACAAACATTCCACCAATTTGCATGCGTACAATTTCCTGTTATCTAACTTCTGTGAACTCATCACACTTGATTTTTAGCTATTTACTGTCCTCAAATCTGTCACATACATTCCTACTTCTTATACTCATTCGATTCTTTTCCATCTCGAACAACCAACACTTTAGCCCTGAATTTGATTCCCCCAAAACTAATTCATTTTTCAAGAGCCAACTTGAATGCTTATGAATTCCCTAGACAACCTCTTCTGCACTGGCCAGGGACTGAACACACACTGATTGCACATCAGCCCTAGAGAGCCAGCGCGCATACTCCTAAGAGCCAACACACAACAAAACAGTGAGTACTTTGTGCTGCCATTCGGTGGCTTCCTCTTCCTTTTTCTTCTTGGCTTCTTCCAAAAGTGCAATCTTGGCAGTGAATTCGGCAAGTTCTGCTGCCTAAAATTAAAATGTTTATATATTATATATTGTCAATACTAGAGACATTTATGTTTGTTTGTTTGTTTTTTAATACTCTTTTATGTTCAGTCGGTCAAAAACTTTTCAGGTATGTGCTTGGGCTGTTTGAAGTCTCTTAGTCTTCCACTTTAAAAAGACAGTGTTTGCTGAAAGATCTACTGCTTGTCTGCAGTAGGTACTGAAGATGAGAAAATACAAGGCAAAGTTAAAACATTCTTATTCTATAGATGAACAATTACTTATGCTTCAGTAGTAAGAACTTAAAATATCTAAGAGCTATGTTTTAAACTTTTATCATTAGACAAAAATTGTGTAATGTTCTGTAATTTTAAGGGTTCTTAATCAACAATCTCATCTGATTCTTCTCATCAGTCCTATTTTCAAAGAGAAAGAACTGAAAAGCTCAAAGAGCAAAGGACAGGTATGATATCTATCACATACCTGGAATCCAAGCTCTCTTGGTACTTACGAGGTAGGGCAGGAAGATCAAGAAGATCAAAGCTAGCCTGAGTTAACAGCAAAACTTTGTTTAAAACAGGATTCAAAGACATGCAGTAGTATGTATATTCAGAATCTTCTGTGTCATGCATACTTTCACTATTTGGAAATACATTAAATAAACAAAACTCCAACCAATTATAGCTTATGGCTGTCATTCAGGAACTAAACATGCTATATCGATTTCTCTAAAGCACAAGATGCCCATGTCCTTCTGCAAAGCCTGTTCAAAGTCTAGGCCAGTGGTTCTCAAGTTGTGGGTTGTGACCCCTCTAGGGGTGGAATGACCCTTTCACAGGGTTGCCTAAAACACTGGAAAACAGATATACAATTCACAACAGCAGCAAAATTACAGTTATGAAGTAGCAACAAAAATAATTTTATGGTTGGGGTCACCACAACATGAGGAACTGTGTTAAAGGGTCACAGAATTTGGAAGATTGGGAACCAGTGGTCTAAATGAATGAAAATCGTTTGTAGGCCACTGGCTCCGTTTAAAAGGAAACCATAACTAGAATATATTACATGAAAGAAAGTCTATTTTCAATTTTTTTTTAAAAAGTAACTATAAGACACAAACACATAGACTCTTTTATCCTGTTTTTTGTTGTTGTTGTTGTTTACTTTTTTTCAGGCAGAAATGAAATGTCCAGTTTCTTTCTGTCATTTTATTACTGTCCCCATGGCATGCTTTTAGAAGACACTACACTTGAGTTTGTGATCATGCCATATATTTACAGAAGTTTTGTTTTTTCTGAGAATGCACAGGGCCTTACCAGCTGCTCCTGGTTCTTCATCTGGTCAGCAGCTTGCTTGGCTATTGCGGACTTGGCCTCCTCTGCAGCCCGGCGCTCCTTGTCCAGTCGCTCTGCCTCCTCTTTTGCTCGCTGGCGCTCCTGCTCCAGTTCCAGAGCTTTCCGAGTCTGTTCTTCTAGTTCTGTTGAACGTTTCACCCAGCCCACAAACATGGGTTAATTTCAATCATCCTCATTACGGTAAGATGCCAAAATCTGCATTTTCTAAAGATCAGCATGGGTCTAAATATACAAATACTACAACTTTAACCTAGTAAAGAATAATATTTTACAAATTACGTAATTCAAAACTGCAAGGACATGAAAGCCCCTTACAGTTCAAGCTGTGTCAAAAGGCTAGAAGCACATAATTTTCTAAAAATCTCTAATTTTAAGTTTTGACCTGTTGAAATGAGAAAGGCTGGGGGCTTGCATGGAATAATTCAGTAGAGTGCCTGCCTAGATGTACAAAGCCCAGGTTGCAATCCCTAGCATTCTCCAAAAGTAAAGACTGATCTACCTTAGCGAAAGTCTACAAATTACTGCATTTTAAGACCTATGGATAGCTCAGTGGTACAAGCCTGGTCTAGTACACAAGATGCCCTTGGCTCAACCCTTACACCAAGACAAATACACTGTCCTACCTAAACTAAGTACAGGGAAGCAACCCTCATCTGAAATACATGGGGATTCAAAGTGTTTTGGATTTCAGGTTTGTGAAGATTTTCAATATTTAACCTACATAGTAAAAGAATTTAGAGCTAAGACTCATTCTAACATGTTTCTTATTTCATTCCTGTTTCATAAGCACCTTATGTGCAGACACTGACCAAAATCTGATGCAGTATTTTTAGTGTGCCTATGATATGTTTGCGATCCACTGCATGAAGTCAAGTGTGTAATTTTTATTAGTGACAATATGTAAGTTCAAAACATTTCAGATTTGGGGCTTTCAAGATATTTGTTTTATTTTTCTGATAACGCATCAGCAATCTTGATTGGCTAATTGTAGACATTAAGTTTGAAAAAACAATCTGACACAAAAGCTCTCAGGGACTTACATATCCCTTATATCTGGCTGTCTATACAAATAGATATAATGAAGTGACTGACAAGCACTGTAATCTGTGCATGTATCAGGCATGTTTTTTATCCAAGTAAACTGAGTAAGAAAGGAAAATATTACTAACACAAAACATACAGAAGCCATAGATGACTTTAAAATATTAACTGTAAGCATTATTTTGGCAAATTTTTACTAAGAATTTTGTGAGAGAACAGAATGTAATGTCCTAGGAGATTGAGTCTAAGTGTCCTCTAGAGATGTGAAAGTAAACTGTTTTGACAAAATTTTACTTAACATTCTTCTTAATTTTACTGGTCTTAAAGCTAGCGTAAGTAGTTTGAGTTAGAGATTTGGGAGATTTTGAGGATTAGAGTAGAAAAATGACTCTGGTTAATCTTTAAATTCTTGATAAAATAGCATACAAAATCTACACAGCTACCTGGTTACAAATTATAAAAGTTCACTATACAGGGTGCGACCATAGCCTAGTTAGATGATGATTTATTTTGAATTTTCAGTTAACATTTGGTCAAGTTACCCTAGAATAAGCTTCCCTTATCCTACTTGGCTGATAGAACTTCCACAGCTCACGGCTCTACCATTCACCTACAAAAATGAGTAAAGAACTGAAAGCAGGGTTCCAAAGAAACGTGTTCATCAACACACACTCACCCCAAGGGCAGGAAACTCTGATATATGTTCCAGTATGGATATATGTTCCTGCAGGCAAGTGCTAAGAGCAAAAAGCCAGTGACCAAAGCACACTGCACGATTCTTCTCACTAGCCAAAACAGCCTACGTCCCACACAGACAGGTATATGCAGAGAGAAATGGAGAGAGGGGGCTAGGGAGTTACCACTCAACAGGCAGAGCTTTAGCTTTGAGAGTTGAAAAGGGTTATATAGCAATGACTTTATATCCTTAAACCACACTCTTCAAAATGGGTAGTACACTAAATTTTCATGTTTGCCACAGTTTAAAAAAAAGTTTTATCTCATAACAAAACTCTTAGAAGTTTCAATTACAAGTTAAATTCTGACGTAAATACCCTACCCCCTAGTGTTATTTTCTATCAACCTTCTATATTATCAATTTTTTAAAAGGTAGATTTGATAGATTTTATATAATTCTTAAATTTATCACAAAAAGCTATCTTTCAAAATGTTAAAATGAACACTATACTAGTCTACTGAGATGAGACTGATGTGAGATGTGAGATAAGGCAGAGGCAGGTGGATCTCTGTGCGTTCAAGGCCAGTCTGGTCTACAAATTGAGTCTAGGACAGCCAAGGCTCTTGTCACACAGAGAAACTGTCTTGTAAAACAAACAAACATAACAAAGCAAAACAAGAACAGTGTAGTGTACTACTGAATAAAAAAATGATAAATTTTCTATAGTACACCTAAGCAAGAATAAAGTTATGTTACCATAAAAAATAATTTCTATGCATAACACATGGAGATATTTTAAAAATAACCTGAGATGAAATGTAAATGAAAAAGTAGGGCACATGCATATGTACGCACACACATGCACACACACAAACTGCCAGGCACAATAGTGTGTTCCTGTAGCCCTGGGTACTTTGCGAGGTGAAAGCAGAAGGATCAGTTGACTCCAGGAGTTCAAGGACAGCCTGGGAAATACTCAATGATCTCCTCTTACAACAACACACCCCAGTACATACGTCAGATGCCTCTGGGACAAGGACACTCTCATGTGTGCCACATATTTACTCTGTAAACAAAAAGGCATCTCTTTTCCCCGACAGCGGAATGACGGCAAAGCAGCACATCGGCCTGAGGTTAGCATGTTACTGGTCCAGGGAAAAAAAAAAAGATATAAAGCCTGGGATTGAAGAAGTACTCATGACTAGGAGAAAAGTTCCTGAAAAGGGGCAAAAACAAGAAGAAAAGCCCCATCAAACCTGTATGCTTTTCTCCTGCAATATATCTGCCAATCCCCCAAATGCACTCATAAGTGAAACATACAGGAAACATACAAAAAGCTTGTAGGGGCTTAAGAACTAGGGAGAGATCACAATGCCTTGTCAAATGACAGCACTTGAGGCTAACACAAACAAGCCCTGGTCATCATCCTTGGAAGAAAATATTTGCAAGTAGTATTGGGTAAAGAATTTGTATACCAGACATGTAAGGACCCTTACAACAACAACAAAAGGAAATCCCACTGACCAGTGGGCAAAAAATTTGAATACCCTCACCCCAAAAATATAGAAATAGTCAATACACACATGAAAAGATATTCGACATCAATAGGCATTGAGGTTTCTTTCTTTTTTTTTTTTTTAACAATCCATGACAGTTTTATTGAGCCTTTTAGTTTATGAGGTAAAAGGAAAAGCAATTCTCCTTAATACTTTACATAGCTGTAGTAAAATATCTGAGACTTAAAGGAACTTACGGGGGGGGTTACATTTCTCAAAAATTGAGATCAAGTAAACAAGCTTTAATGCCTTAAATTTTCCAGTTGACTTTTCCCTTACGATAGTAACAAGCGCTAATCACATAAGTCTTTGTTGTTGCTGACTGGTTTCAGTCAATATCTACTAATTCCACTTCAAAAATGAGCTTGGTATTTGGTGGAATTTTGGCATCAGGCTGTCCTTTCTTTCCATAGGCCCATTCTGGCTCAATCTCCAGTCGAGCCTTTTTTCCTTCACTCATAGTCAGGAGGGCCTCATCCCATCCTCTGATAACTTTGCCTACTCCAACCTTAAAACTTAACGGCTTGGCATCTTTCTTCTTCTTTGAACTTATTTGAATATTAGTATCAAAAACAGTTCCGTCTGGGAGTGTCCCTGTATACCAGCAGTGAACAACATCTCCCTTTTCGGGAAAGTTGGTTTTATCTCCCTTTTTTAGGACAGATTTTGTGTATTTAGGTGGACACTCATCAAGACTCTCTTCAGACTTGGATTCTTTGGGTTTATCATCATTAAGCTTAACGGTTTTCACTTGCTCGGACACTTTACTTACAGTTTCAGTACCCTTGAAACACTTACTTTCAAAAAGATGGTTATAGGCAGTAACCAAATGGTCCTTATTAGCAATCTTAGCTACATTTTTTTTATGTTTCCCAATAATTTATGTTCTGCAAGAAACGAATCTGAACCGTGATCCTGCAGAAACTTGATAATGTCCTTCTTGGGCAGCTGCTTGCTACGCAACTGCTCCACGGTCCATGCACGCTGCGGAACGGCCGCCGCCATCTTCCCCTACTGCCTCCGCTGCACTCGGCACTGAGGTTTCTAAATCAAAACCCTAACATAGCATTGTAAATCGTCTAGGAAGATGATAACCCAAAAGATAAGCATTAACAAATTTTGGTGAAGATGGAGAGAATCCACACATTGCTATGGACAGATAGCCACTTTCAAACTAACTGGGCAGTTCCTCAAAAAATATAAGTCAACGTGGCCAGTAATATGAAAACATAGAAATAAATCTATACGCATATGTTCATAACTTATACACAATGCAGTGAAATAGCAAATACAAGGCAAATACCCAAGAATTGATGAATAAAAAAATAAAACATTAAGCAATTTAAAAAGAATGAAATGCTAGTATGTTACAACACAGATGTAATTTGAAAATACCAGGCTAAGTAAGAGAATTCGGTCAGGTGTCCAGAAAAGGCAAACCTGTAGCCACAGTGAATGCATGAGCAGTTGCCCGGGGCTGCGAGGGGATCACTGAGAGGACTTAGGGACTGCTTAATGGGCATGGAGTTTCTTCTTAGAGATGACAGATTTCAAAAACTGATTGGTGTGATAGCCACACATCACTGTGAACATTAAACACTTAAACTGTGTAGTTTAAGTGCTAATTTTACAGCATATTAATTGTATCTCAACAACACTATTAGGAAAAAAATAAGACTAAGATCTAAAAATTAGAATGGCTAAAATTATATAGGGATGACTATAAAGTAATAAACAAAAGAAGAATGCCAGTAGAGTTCATTATCTGCTTCTGGAAAGCCAGAAGAATAAAAGCTTATACAGTTTGTACAGTTTACATGGCTTTAAGAATAAACTTTCCCATAACCAACTCCTGAGGCTTCCTCCTTACAGCTGTATACTCTTATTGGTACTTCACTGAAACAGTGTTTAAGTTTTCATAAAACAAAACTACTTAAAAACAATCTCCGAGTGCTAAATTAAGGATTATTTCCATTTCAGAATTTAGGAACATAAAAACTTAAGATGTTAAAATAGATTCATTTATTGTCATATTCTGACTTAATGAACTATAAGCTTTGCTCCTAACTGTAAACAGTGTTATCTAATACTCACTACAGAATCACACTGACAACCCTCCTCAGAAGTCAAACTACATAAAATGATTTTGTTAGGTTACTGCTCCACCTTCCATCAATGAACTGTATGCTGCATCAAAGCAGGGGCCACATCTATTTAAAAACATGTACCCAGGGCACATATGTGCTCAAAATTAAGTCACCAGACCACAACTCCCATCTACAGTTTGCCTTACGAAAGTCAAACTCATTTCAGTATTTGTTAGACTAGTAATGGCTGCTCTGGTGACAGCATCTTTCAGGTATCCAATTCATCTTTCAAGATATTCTAGAACAACTTATACCTTTTTTTATTCTCTTTAATGAGTCATTTGAAACAATAGCATCAATAAAAATGACAATGAAACATAATTTCTTTCCTCAAAAGAATTACAGTTTAAATGTCATGACATGTGGCTGGAGAGATGGCTCAGAGGTTAAGAACACTGGCTGCTCTTCCAGGGGTCCTGAGTTCAATTCCCATTACCCACATGGTGGCTCACAACCATCTATAATGCGATCTGGTGCTCTCTTCTGGCGTGCAAGTGTACGTGCAGAAAGAACACTGTATACATAATAAATAAATCTTTAAAAAAAATCATGATCAGTTACTTCACTTGAATAAAAATTTAGGACAAATTACAAGACAATCATGTAGGTTTTAGAGCAGCCTGGAAAAACTTTATTAGAAAGACAACAAATACACTGAATGTCCTTTGTCTTAAGATGACTGATTTGCAATTGTCTTGATAAAGGTGCTTTATATTCTTTATGCTCTCTCTATCTCCCTTATACTCTTCAGTGCTTCTTTGAGTTTTGTATATAAACCATTAATACTTTTATTATACATCCTAAATAAATGAGATTGAAAGATTCAGTAAGTAGCTATTCCCTCAAAGAGTTCTATAAATTTAAAAGTGCTATGAATCACCATCAAATTTTTATTCTTTCAACATCCTTCAGTATAATGCAGGTCATGTGTGTGGTTCTAAGAACCAAACTGGGATCTCACAGATGTAAGCAAGCTTCCCAACCAGTGAGCAATGCCCTAAGTTCCTCAATCCAAGTGTCTTCCTAGCATTCTTGAAGGGTGCAAGTTATCCTAGTCATGTGGTCCTAGCACACTATATCATGCTATCGATGTCTTATACATGTACTTATATCATGTGCACAGGTTCTACTGCCATGTAGGTTATCTGTCTATACTCCTACAAGGTAAAAAGGTAAAGTAGAATAAACAACATCAAGTTTGGAATTCAAGAATCATGCTCTGTTGCCACTTTGTGCTATATAAACAAATAACCTTTTAGTTGTGAAGTAAATTCGTTTCTAGATGTGAGAGGTGAGGTTTAGCTATTGAATAAACCTCATTTTAAAAGTTGTACTTGTTTTATTGTATGTGGTTTACACACATGCATGGAGGCCAGAGGCCTACCAAAAGTTGTCACCTCACTTTTTGAGACAAAGTCTCTCCTGCTCTGGGTCTCTGATTTGCTGTGGCTGCCTGTCCAGCCAACTTCAAGAATCTGCCTATCTCAGCTTCCCCAGTACTGTGATTGCAAGCTAGTGTCAACCATGCCCAAGCTTTACCTGCGCTCGGGTGATCAAACTCAGGTGTTCATGTTCGCACAGCAAGTACTTTACCAATGAGTCCTATCTCCAGCCCAATGCACATACCTTGTAAGGGGCACATAGCAGCTATCCTAGCATTGGTGAGGTATAAACCAAGAGTATCAAAAAGTTTGAGGGCAGCTCGAGCTACAGTGAAAGCGTGTTTCCACCCCACACCCCCCAACACACACACATACTCAAAAGCCACAACAGTCTCTACTAAGATATATTTCCAATACTCGTAGAATTTTAGAATAACTGTGGAGAAGTAGTCATTTAGGTAACCATATCTTCTGAATACCCACTAGAAAATGGTTCTGACTGCTTCTGAAAAATATCTCTTTCACATAGGAGAATGATAAAAGAATCAAATTAAACCTTAAGTAACTACCATTCTCAGTAAATGAATGGCTACTTCTACTAACTGGTAGGGAAAGGTATTATGAAAAGAGTAAGCTCATACTACCTGATAAGACTCATGACCAAACCTTTGGCAGAGTACAGGGAATCATAAGAAAGAAGGGGAGTTAGTCTGATGAGGAAAGGATAGGAGCTCCACAAGGACCAAATATATCTGGGCACAGGGTCTTTTCTGAGACTGACATGCAACCAAGGACCATGTATGGATATAACCTAGAACCTCTGCTCAGATGTAGCCTGTGGTAGCTCAGTAACCAATTGGTTTCCCATAGTAAGGGGAACAAGGACTATTTCTAACACGAACTCAATGACTGGCTCTTTGGCCTCCCCACCCCCCAAGGGAGGAGCAGTCCTGTTAGGCCACGGAGGAGGGCTTTGCAGCCAGTCCTGAAGATACCTGATAAAACAGGATCAGATGAATGGGGAGGAGGTCCCCCCTATTAGTGGACTTGGCAAAGGGCACGGTGGAGATGAGGGAGGGAGGGAGGGACTGGGAGGGAATGAGGGATTGGGACATGGCTGGGATACAGAGTTAAAATGTAACTGATAAGAAAAAAATAAAATTTAAAAAAAAAATAACCTCAGAGATAATGAAGCCTCCATTACAAAAAAAGAAAAAAAATCTGTTGCTTGTGAAGGAACAATTTAATTTGCTCAAATAACTTTTTTTCTTCTTTGCACTAGTGTTTTGTCAAAGTAGTGTGTCCTAGAGTTACTCAATGTAAACAGTGCCCTTTCTATACATTTCAGCACTCTGGCTACATGAAGAATAGGAAGTTCATCTAAGCATGTCAAAAGCAAACAAGCAGCATGACATGTCTTTATGTGAATGTTTTTGGAGCTGAATACCTTATACATCACAATAATAATCTTGAGTTCATTGTTCTGAAAAACCTTTTACCTTTTTGGGCTTTCATTGTCTGCTCTTCAATTTGCCTTAGACGCTCCATTAGCTCTTCTTTTTCACGTTCTATTCTTTCCTTTTCCTTTTCTGCTATTTCTCTTTTCTTCTTTTCATTCTCCAATTGTGCCCTTAAAGAAATTACAAGTCATTTGTGACAAGTAAATGGATAGAAACAAATTAATTTGTCTGTACTAACTCCAAACCAAATAAAAAAGCACAGCATAACCATTTACATTTTTTCAATGCAGGCACCACGTCTACTTCAGTACCTAGCACTGTGCTATATACTACACTCTCCCTAGCCAGACACTGCAGCACAGGTTACAACCCCAGAGCTGGGACGGCAGAAGCAGGTGGGTCCCTGGAACTTGCTGACAGACCTTGTCTCTCAAGCATCTTCCCCAGTTGCTCTCGACTTCTGACCTTCACAAGTTCATGCATTGTGGTTCTCGTCTTTTATATACATACCATATACACAATTTTAAAACTTAAAAAAAAATATCAAAAGCATGTTCTTAAAGATAACTCAGGTGAGAAAAAAAACTCAGGAGATTTAGCATCTGCATACAGAACAGATTATATATAACATCTTAATAACTTGCTTCTCCCATTGCCACAACTCAAGGGAGTTAGCAGGGGCCCTCCATGGGGAAATAACAAAGGATTAAACATAACACACAAGTACCTTCAACAGCAAATAGTATGTGAGGGCAATGATTTTCAACCAGTTAAAAATAAAGTAACATAGGGCTGGAGAGAAGGCTCAGTGGTTAAGAACGCTGGCTGTTCTTCCAGAGGACCCAAGTTCAGTTCCCAGCACCCACATGGCAGCTCACAACTGTCGCTAACTCTAGTTCTAGAAAATCTGACACCCTCACAACCATGCACGTAAAATAAAATTAAATTAAATATTTAAAATAAGTAAATAAAATAAATACAAATTTAATTTGTGGGCACTACCCATTTATACCTCACTATAAGATGACAAGTAAGCCATAACCTTTCACAATTCCATTAGGATGGCAGCCACGTGTTTACAGTGTAAAAGGGATAACAATGCCATGAAGATTTAGCTGTGTCTGTCACAAGTCCTGACAAAATCACTGTGGGGAGAGGAGTTCAGGAGCTAATATAGCCAAAGTCTATCATCAGATGTCTAGCAATAGCCTAGCTTTGGTCAAATGCTATGCTGGTAATCAAAACCAAAAAGATGAATCAAAGTCACCGAAGTGTTACTTCATATGCTTAAGAATGAAATGACTACTTCAATGCTAGGATTTTTTCACTGAAGTGACTCCAGCTCTAACACTTCCTAATATTCACAAAATGGCACCATCGCCACCTAGTGCCAACTCTCAATTGCAAGCATACCACAAAATTGTACTATCAAAGTACTTGTGCTTACTGTGAAAGCCTGAATTTGCAAATCCTAAGATATTAGGCGTCCATCTGTTTCAAAAAAAGAAGCGTGGCTGTCTGGAGAGCTGTCACAAGTCAGCATGACTTGGTGGCGGTGACTTTCTGACCCAGAAGTTGAGGGGTCATTACGCCTCCACTAATTAACCAACTTCACCGCATTTAAAAACCAAAGACCCGGGGCTAGAGAGGTGGCCCCATGGTTAAGAGCATTTGTGCTTACAGAAGACCCAAGTTTAATTGCCATCATCTACGTGGTAGGCCACAAACATCTGGAATTCCTGTTCCAGGGCATATGACACCCCCTTACAATCTCTGTGGGCACAAGGCATGTATGTGGTGCACATGCATACGTAGACACAAAAAAAAGTCAATGCACATTAAAAAAAATTCAAAATGTTTTAAGAATGATTTTAAAAGAAATACAAGGGGAAAAAAAAAGCATGGACTAATGGGTTGTTCCACTCTGGTTCTAGGTTCTCTTTGATGTATACCCTTAATACCCAGAAGAAAGAGCCAACACTTATCTGCCTTGGGTCTTTGAAACATTTCCCCCTCATCTCAATCTATAACATATTTTCAGGTAGACACTTGAGAAGCTGGGAGTCTCTACCTCAAGAAAACCTAAATGAAGAGGCTCAGGGCAAGAAGGCATTTCCCAGGCTCCTTGGGCAAAAGAAGGGCCCAGTGACCTTCCCTTAAAAAGCCCGTTGTCCCCTCAGGCTGTTCACGAAAGCAGAAGTACCAGTTTTCAAATAACTGCTTTCCTACAGCATGCTGTCTACAGCCCCGGGGTGTTTGTTAGGCTACTCTACGGCTGAGCCTCTGCAGAGCCATGTCTAGCAATGCCACAGCTCCACAAGGCAGCTCCCTTTCTGTCAGGCACTGAAATCCTTCCTTCTTAAAAACTCAGGACAAACCAAGCCTCAAGACCTGTAGGTTATAACCTATCCCAAGTGCTCAGAACCTTTTGGGTGGCACTCTGACACAAATGCCCCTTTTAGGAAAGGGTGTTGGCTTCATTTAGCTTTTCCCTATCGGAGTCTCATTTGCTCTTCTATAGAGATGGAGGAAAAGAAGGTATGTAGACAGGAACAAGAACAAAAGGAAGGAGGGGAGGGAGGGAAGGAAGGAAGGAAGGAAGGAAGGAAGGAAGGAAGGAGGGAGGGAGGGAGGGAGGGAGGGAGGGAGGGAGGGAGGGAGGGA